ATCATGACAGGGGACACACACACACACACACACACACACACACACACACACACACACACACACACACACACACACACACACACACACACACACACACACACACACACACACCCGGGGCGAGGTGTGTGTGTGTGTGTGTGTGTGTGTGTGTGTGTGTGTGTGTGTGTGTGTGTGTGTGTGTGTGTGCGTGCGTGCGTGCGTGTGTGTAGAGTTTGGCCATTGTTGACAGTCGGGAAGCAGGTGACTACCTGACGCTCCGCTGCTAATGAACCTGCCCTCTTCCTTCCAATCTTCCTTCCAATCTTCCTTCCATTCTTCCTTCCATTCTTCCTTCTCTCCTCTCCTTCTCCACACTCTCTTCCCCTTTCTCACCAACCCCCTTCCCCACTCTCCTCCTCCCCTCCCCTCCACACCTGTCTACCTGTGATCTTCGTCTTACAAACGACCCGCTAATTTCACCCCCTATTTTTTTTCCACCTTGAACTATTTTCCACGTAACTAGCATATCATATACAAAGGCAACAGCCCCCTCTTATAGAGGGCACACCTCACATAAAGGACACACCTCACATATAGGGCACACCTCACATAAAGGACACACCTCATATATAGGCCACATTGTGTACACTTAGCAGCTCCTAATAGCTCAGATTACGAAAGTGAACTGGTAAGTTCGAAAGTGAACTGAAAGTGAACATTGTTTACTGGTAATTTTTTTTTTGCCATATTTCCCCCATAATCAATTCATTATGAGCCAGAGAAAATATTTTACATTAAATATATATTTAATGTAAAATATATATTTAGTAAATATATTTTCCAGTAAATATATATATAACTTTAATATGTCAATAGGACAAAATAAATCCATATTTATTTTTGAGTCAATAAAAGTCAATAAGGTCAATACAAATATTTTTTTGGTCAATAGAAATTGGACTTGACTGCTGCTCTACCAAACACTTCCTCCCTGAACTAAAACAATGTGATGGTGGTGTTCAGTTTTAACTTTTTCCCTTAAGAAATTGTTGATTAGGAACATCATTAAAAATATAAGTAACATCATTTATACGATGTTGTGCAAGGAATACAATATGTTTTGTTTATTTTTATTTTGTTTGAGTTCTAACGCATTGTTTGCGAATCTTAGTTTCTTAGGCTTGCTTCATGTTTCACTTTATGTGTCCGCCTTGCTTCCTGTTTCACTTTATGTATCCACCTTGCTTCCTGTTTCACTTTATGTATCCAGCTTGCTTCCTGTTTCACTTTATGTATCCAGCTTGCTTCCTGTTTCACTTTATGTATCCAGCTTGCTTCCTGCTTCACTTTATGTATCCACCTTGCTTCCTGTTTCACTTTATGTATCCAGCTTGCTTCCTGCTTCACTTTATGTATCCACCTTGCTTCCTGTTTCACTTTATGTATTCACCTTGCTTCCTGCTTCACTTTATGTATCCAGCTTGCTTCCTGTTTCACTTTATGTATCCACCTTGCTTCCTGCTTCACTTTATGTATCCAGCTTGCTTCCTGTTTCACTTTATGTATCCACCTTGCTTCCTGCTGTGGGAAGTTGATGTGACCATTGCCCCAGGATGCGATCCACAAGACACTGCAATCGCTCAGGCTCCTATTCACTGCTGGGGTGAACAGAGGCAACAGGTGTACGGAGACGTGTCAATACGTCATGCCTGGCCTGGTGTAACGCGTCAATATATATATATTATCTTTTACTAAAGCTACATCCGGAAATTTGATTAGTGACAGAAATACCTAATTATCAATGAATTGAGATCCAATAGAAAACCTTGTTGCCCTTTGCGACAAATCTGTTGAAAGCATAATTACAGATAATGTGCTTGTTACGAAGTTTAAAAGTCGACTCCATCTTTACCATTATATATATATATATATATATATATATATATATATATATATATATATATATATATATATATATATATATATATATATATATATATATATATATATATATATATATTATGACAATGTCAGACCACGGAGGAAAATGAAACAGGAATTTCCTTAAGTACTTTCGTATATTAAATACATCTTCAGAAGGAATGAACATCTCCATTCCTTCTGAAGATGTATTTAATATACGAAAGTACTTAAGGAAATTCCTGTTTCATTTTCCTCCGTGGTCTGACATTGTCATATTCTATATATATATATTTATATATATATATATATATATATATATATATATATATATATATATATATATATATATATATATATATATATATATATATATATATATATATATATATATATATGTCGTACCTAGTAGCCAGAATGCACTTCTAGGCCTACTATGCAAGGCCCAATTTGCCTAATAAGCCAAGTTTTCACGAATTAATTGTTTTTCGACTACCTAACCTACCTAACCTAACCTAACCTAACCTAACTTTTTCGGCTACCTAACCTAACCTAACCTATAGAGATAGGTTAGGTTAGGTTAGGTAGGGTTGGTTAGGTTCGGTCATATACCTACGTTAATTTTAACTCCAATAACAAAAAATTGACCTTATACATAATGAAATGTGTAGCTTTATTATTTCATAAGAAAAAAATTAGAGAAAATATATTAATTCATGAAAACTTGGCTTATTAGGCAAATTGGGCCTTGCATAGTAGGCTGAGAAGTGCGTTCTGGCTACTAGGTACGACATATATATATATATATATATATATATATATATATATATATATATATATATATATATATATATATATATATATATATATATATATATGGTTCTAATAATCATTAGAACTCATAAACCTGGTAATCCTACAAGACCAATTACTCATCAGTCCTGTTGGATCTGTTTCTTACAAATTGTCCAAATGACTTGTACAGTGTACCTCACAGTACACTGTCAACACCCCCACCACCTCACAGTACACTGTCAACACCCCCCACCACCTCACAGTACACTGTCAACACCCCCCACCACCCTTGCCCTGTACCAGGTGGCCACGGAGGAAGCACATAATGATGTTAGTTAATTACCCAGTGTGCCGACAGGTGTTCAGACTTTGATGTCGATGGACACCTGTCCCGACCTTCAATTATCACACCTGTAGATAATTCTCGCACCTTGCTAATTGGACTCTCTTCATCAGGAGAAGATTTTATTCATTTTTAATCAATTGTATAAGATTTAAGTAATAGTTATTAGAGATTTAGATAAACAAATCAAGAATATCTAAATAAACAAGCCCCAGGAAAGTTGTAACAAGACATTTGGCGCTGATTGATTGATTGATTGATGAAGATTAAGCCACCCAAGAGGTGGCACGGGCATGAATAGCCCGCACGTGGAAGATTTTTTTTAGGGAGTGAATGTGATGTTTGGTGGTGAACACATGGCGTGAGAGAGTTAGTACACATGAACCAACTCGCTCTCAAGCTAGGCTCGTTAAAGCTGCGACCATCCCCCCTTCCCATCAAGACGCACTGATAAATTTTAAAGTTTCGTGTATTAAAATAGGTTTGTTCTCATTTATGTATTTATATTATTAAACAATACAGTTCTATGTATAGCCAGGTGTATATTTGCCAACAGAACCTAAACATCTAACCTAACCTACGCCTAACTATACATATAATTTTTATGTATAATATCAATTTATATATGAGAAGAAACTAATATTTAATGCACAGTATGTTAAAATTGATGAATGCGCCTGGGGAGGACGGCCGCTGCTTTAACGAGCCTAGTGTGAGGACGGGTTGTGCTGTGGTGACTCCCAGATGGTTCACTGAGTCATTGATGCTCTACCACCACCACCACCACCACCACCACCACTACCACTACCCGCCAACACCACCACCACCACCACCACCACCACCACTACCACTACCTGCCAACACCACCACCACCACCACCACCACCACCACTACCACTACCCGCCAACACCACCACCACCACCCACCACCACCACCACCACCACCACCACTACCACCCGTCGCCACCACCCACCACCACCACCACCACTACCCGCCAACACCACCACCACCACTACCACTACCCGCCAACACCACCACCACCACCACCACCACCACCACTACCACTACCACTACCCGCCAACACCACCACCACCACTACCACTACCCGCCAACACCACCACCACCACCACTACCACTACCCGCCAACACCACCACCACCACCCACCACCACCACCACTACCACTACCACCCGTCGCCACCACCCACCACCACCACCACCACCACCACTACCCGCCAACACCACCACCACCACCACCACCACCACCACTACCACTACCCGCCAACACCACCACCACCACCCACCACCACCACCACCACCACCATCACCCACCACTACCACCCGCCACCCCTACCGGCCACCACCACCACCACCACTACCCGCCAACACCACCACCACCACTACCACTACCCGCCAACACCACCACCACCACCACTACCACTACCCGCCAACACCACCACCACCACCACTACCACCCCCACCACCACCACCACTACCACCCGCTATCACCACCATCAGTAAACCCAAGGAGAGTAAACCACGGTAGACTTGAGCAACAGGTACCACCCCTCCCCCCCTCCCAGGTAGACTGTCGCAATAATCAACATTCAGACACATCCACCTGTCTAGAATAACCAGGAGACGCTGCGTATACGTAACTATATGGTAATATAGCAACATATTAGCAAGTATAAGACATATTCCGTGGAGCGGAATGCCAATGATCGTCTTGTAAGGTCAGGTTCTCACACGTTAAACGTCTCGTTTGGCTGGCATGACTCCTTATGGGGGTTGGTGCCTGTTAGGCTGTGTAGGACCCGAGGCCTTCTCACCTCATGAGCGAGCGAGAGAGAGGGAGAGAGAACGAGTGAGAGAGAGTGGGAGAGAGAGAGAGGGAGAGAGAGCGCTGGCGGGCGAGGCGCGAGGTGGTCTATCCAAGCACTAACAGGTTGGTGGCAGCAAGGATAGGAGCCACACGCACTCTCCACCACTCTCCACCACCACCTCCCGCAATCAATAACCATCCTTGGAATCTGTACACAATCTCCGCTAGCGTGAAAATCGCCAAATAAGAAAGCTTATGAGAGCACATTTGTTCGTTTCCCCCGTCGTAACGAGGAAGAATGCGAGTGGCTGATTGAGCAGTTACCTCCTCTCTCTCCCTCCTCCCTCCCCCCCCCCGCACGCACATACACACACACACACGCGTGTGTGTACACCTCTAATGTCGGACTGGAACCTCTGTGGGTTTGGTACAAGACCCACGGAGCTCAGTGTGTGATTAAAATGCTCAGGTGAAGGTGTGTGTGAGCATTGCGTGCGTGTGTCCACCCATATGTTCCGGTTTCTACTGAATATGTGTCATCATCATCTGTGTCCGGACGTAAACACTACATGTTGATACAGAATTATATATATGTGTGATTTGGAAAAAAAATGAAGTGAATTGTGTGTTTCCCGCCATGTTCCGGTTTGGTTGTTAGAGAACACGTGATTCTAAATGGAAAGATAATTCAAGGATTATTGCTGCCTGTACCCGGATAATCCGGGAAGGGGGGGGGGTTGAATTAAGCGAAGCTCACCACACCAACCCTCGCTTACACGGCCCAAAAGGATAATCAAATCACCATTCTCATCTTTTAAGGTAAGGTTGATCAGTTAATTTTAAGGGTTGATAAAGATTAATATAGTCGATTGATCTTGAAACTATAGTAAGTACTCACACGACACAATGACCGGCTATGGTGATCACGGGAGCTGGTCAATAACGGGTGATAAATTATATACATGTAGATAAGGAAGACGAGTTATGGTCGCAGCGTTAAATAAACTCTTTAAGTATATACAATGCACTTCTGGATTGTTAAAAGTCAAGACATTATTGAAATCAATCGCTTGTTATTTATTCATTTACTGTGGCGTAAATCCTTAAATTGCATTAACTGTAATAAACAAAGACCCAAAAGTGCTTCCATGCACCCGCCAAACTCCAGTTTATCAATGAAAAACGGTTTATACATGACTCACAACTGTTGACGTTCGAACACTTCCGGAACAAGTGCTGCACTGACGAATTTTGTTCGAACCACAACGCTATAAACAGCCCGTCCTCCAAACCAAGATCCAAAAGTGATTCCATGCACCCGCCAAACCCCCTGTTTATGAATGAAAAGCGGTTTACACACGACTCACAACTGCTGACGTTCGAACACTTCCGGAACAAGTGCTTCACTGACGAATTTTGTTCGAATCACAACGCTATAAATGCTTCACCCACGTACTACAAATACAAATAATCGCCAACAGAACCTAAACACCTATCCTAACCTATACCTATATATGCCCAATATTCTAATGTATTATAATATTAATTTATGAACAAATCCACAAGGGACTAGGATGTACAAGTGTACAAATAAGGGCAGTAGAACTTCTGGTTTGAACTCTTTTGACCATGTCGTAGCTCAGTCGATTAAGGCAGCGTCTGGGATGATCTCGGACGTAGGTTCGAATCCTCGTCACGGCCCTTGTATGGATTTGTTCATTGATGCATCACGTTATTGTGATTTCTGTATATTAATTTATATTTGAGAAAATTCCTGTTTTGGATGAACAGCATGTACAAATGTATGAATGCGTCTGTGGGGTCGACCGCTGGATGGAATGGACTCGAGTCGCGGACGGGTTGGGCACCCATTCCCCCCGGTTCGAAGCTCTCATAGTTCTAGTGAGTAAAATGAGGTAAAATATCGTGTGAGGTAAGACTGACTAGAGAAGTGAACAGTTACGACATCTTAATTTCACATCATGGCGGCCTAGGCCGTAGTTACTAAAGAGCTGAGTTACGAGCACTGAAGCGCTACGAGACCGTCTTCAGCCTCATAACTTATCACTGGCATGTACGACATCGTAGCTCCTGGGAGATCGTAAACTGTTGAGCATATACGGAGAGGATTTCTGGTTAAAGGTCAAGGTTTGAATTGAATATATATAGACTAGGGGCAGTATATACAAGTGTCCAACACTATGGGGCAGTATATACAAGTGTCCAACACTATGGGGCAGTATATACAAGTGTCCAACACTATGGGGCAGTATATACAAGTGTCCAACACTATGGGGCAGTATATACAAGTGTCCAACACTATGGGGCAGTATATACAAGTGTCCAACACTATGGGGCAGTATATACAAGTGTCCAACACTATGGGGCAGTATATACAAGTGTTCAACACTATGGGGCAGTTTATACAAGTGTCCAACACTCTGGGGCAGTATATACAAGTGGTCAACACTCTGGGGCAGTATATACAAGTGTTCAACACTATGGGGCAGTATATACACGTGTTCAACACTCTGGGGCAGTATATACAAGTGTTCAACACTATGGGGCAGTATATACAAGTGTTCAACACTCTGGGGCAGTATATACAAGTGTTCAACACTATGGGGCAGTATATACACGTGTTCAACACTCTGGGGCAGTATATACAAGTGTCCAACACTCTGGGGCAGTATATACAAGTGTTCAACACTCTGGGGCAGTATATACAAGTGTTCAACACTCTGGGGGAGTATATACAAGTGTCCAACACTCTGGGGCAGTATATACAAGTGTTCAACACTCTGGGGCAGTATATACAAGTGTTCAACACTCTGGGGCAGTATATACAAGTGTCCAACACTCTGGGGCAGTATATACAAGTGTTCAACACTCTGGGGCAGTATATACAAGTGTTCAACACTCTGGGGCAGTATATACAAGTGTTCAACACTCTGGGGCAGTATATACAAGTGTCCAACACTCTGGGGCAGTATATACAAGTGTCCAACACTATGGGGCAGTATATACAAGTGTCCAACACTATGGGGCAGTATATAGAAGTGTTCAACACTCTGGGGCAGTATATACAAGTGTCCAACACTATGGGGCAGTATATACAAGTGTTCAACACTCTGGGGCAGTATATAGAAGTGGGCAAGTTCCGTAAGGGCACGGAACCTGCCCCTTCCTCACTACACGACAAACGTCGCACGTGAAGTGGCTTTGCCTAGCCAGGAGCGATCGACTTTTTAGCCCTCGAAGCGTTGCATGCATTCCTCTGGCCTCTGGCTTCGTGCATTCCTTCTTATTTTGACCATTTCTCGACGCTAAGACGCGCGTTACGTTGACACCGGTCAACATTTTCAAGGGCGGAGTAGAAGTGAGTATATATAATGTCTGTAGCTGCCGATTCTATAAACCGAGACTGAGCTGAAGTGAACCTCGACTTGGTAAAAGCGATGCCACCTCAGGATTCAGTTGAATTCCGGTGTTGCATTGCCTTCAGTAAGTCGTGGTACAATGGTTTAAACATGTGACTGAGAGGACCCATGCAGTGTGTAGGTTCGAATCCTTCTTATAGCTCCTGCTGATTTTATCATTGAGACGTCACGTTAATGTGATTGCTTTGTGAATAGGTACATAGATACACACTTAAGACAGATACAGTCATTAGACAGGTTCACTCCTTAGACAGGTACACTCACAAAATAAGATACACTCATAAGCTATGAGTAATATACACCGTGAGGCTGCAGGCAGGCCAGGTGCAGCCCGTCATTTATGACGTCACAAGCCGCTTCGAGATTCCAACCCGTGACATACGATCCGACACCAAGATATCGTGTCCAACCCGCCGCCGCAACTTACACCCTCTCCCTCCCTCCCCCCTCGCACGCCATCTTGGATCTCCTATCCGGACCCTTTATAACTCGACTCTCCTACCTCGTGACTTTGATCGATACCCGGTATGTAATGTGGTGTTGGATCGCCTCTCACGCCAGGATCCAATACCTCTCTTGAGAGAGGGCCTCTGGCAGCTATTGAACACCACCGACACGATCCTGTGTTTTGTTGTCGTTCTGGACGCGTAAGTTGTCGTTCATGCAGCTGTCGTTGTTGTTGTTGTGGTGGTGTTACGTTGCTCATTACTCACCTGCGCTGCACCGTCACGGTGTTCATTACTCACCTGGGCTGATGCCTGACAGCATTACTCACCTGGGCTGAGGCCTGACAGCATTACTCACCTGGGCTGAGGCCTGACAGCATTACTCACCTGGGCTGAGGCATGACAGCATTACTCACCTGGGCTGAGGCCTGACAGCATTCATTCCTCACCTGGGCTGAGGCCTGACAGCATTCCTCACCTGGGCTGAAGTATTGTATCTGAGGTTGAGATGTATTTTCATTTTCATTTGGCCTCAGGGGTCCCTGGCCTCCGGGTCCCTGGCTTCCGGGTCCCTGGCTTCCGGGTCCCTGGCCTCCGGGTCCCTGGCCCCCGGGTCCCTGGCCTTCGGGTCCCTGGCCTCCGGGTCCCTGGCCTTCGGGTCCCTGGCCCCTGAAGACGGTAAGGTACAGTGGAACTGGTCCTCAGGGGACGGTAAGGTACACTGGAGGGGAGGACGAGACAGGCTTGACAGAAGACCCTGCATGCTAGGAGGGGAGACAGGTGAGAATGATGGATGAGAAGATGGAGGGTGAGCTTCCAAGAGGGAGTAAAGCTAAGTAGAGGGAGAAAGTCGACGTGTGATGGATGACAGCAAGATGGACGGATCTGTATATAGTCCTTTAGCATCGGGCGTCGCAAAATGGTGCAAAAAAATAAAGCAACTTGGTGCTTCAAAACCGATGGTTGAAAATTGTAACAGGAAAAATGGGTTAAATTAATATATTTTTACGTAGGTAAAAATACTCGTCTGATCGACAATGGTGTTGACGAGGAAGGAAATGGGAACTGATGTGTATTCACTTAGTTGTGATCGTTGGGGGTTGAGCTCTGGCTCTTTGGTCCCGCCTCTCATCTGTCAATCAATCAACTTTGTTACTAACTACTATTTTTTTCACACACACAGGAAGCAGCCCGTAACAGCTGTCTAACTCCAAGGTACCTATTTACTGCTAGGTAACAGGGGCATCAGGGATGAAAGAAACTCAGCCCATTGTTTCTCGCCGGGAATCGAACCCGGCCCACAGAGTTACGTGTCCAGCATGCTATCCACACAGCCACCGCCGCTCCTTGTATGAGAGAGATGTAAGAGAGAGATATATGAGAGAGAGAGAGAGAGAGAGAGAGAGAGAGAGAGAGAGAGAGAGAGAGAGAGAGAGAGAGGTCACATGTACGAGAGAGAGGGTAGTCACATGTATGAGAGTAAGGTCACATATGTGAGTAGGTAAGGGCTTGTGTCAGAAAAGTATAGAACTAACTATATCAGAATATCATCATAAAAACTGAAATATAGATGAAAAGCTTATTTTAAAAACCGTAAATGAAAATGTTGAATGAGGGCTGAAGCCGGTGATTGAGTGGGATTAAGGGGGGTTGAATGGGGTTGAGTGGGCTGGGGGATGAGGCATAATGGGGAGAGAGAGAGAGAGAGTGGGGTTGAATGCCGCGTGTGTGTGGGGTTGATTGGGGTGGGAGTGAGACCGAGTGAGGTGGAAATAGTGTGGGAGTAAAGCTTAGTAGGGGTATGATTTAGGTTGATTTGGGTGGAAGTGGGGTTGGGTGGCGTCAACCGAAGTATGAGCGGAGGTTGTGAGGGGTGTGTGAGTGTGACTGATGGGTGATGTGAGTGAGCTGAGTAGCGTGTGAGTGAGTGGGG